AACAATTATAATGATGACTTGAAATATGCACAGCATTCCCAGAGGCTAAGACACCATCCTAAAAGATAGAGATAGGCAAGAAGCAGTGGCTCACCCCTGTAATCCTAGCACTCTGGGAGGCCAAGGAGGGAGGATTACTTGAGATCAGGAGTACAAGACCAGCCTGAGCAAGAGTGAGACCCCATCTCTACTAAAAATAGAAAAATTAGCCAGGCATGGTGGTGGGTGCCTGTAAGTTCCAGCTACTTGGGAGGCTGAGGCAGGAGGATCGCTTGAACCCAGAAGTTTGAGGTTGCAGTGAGCTATGACGACACCACTTCACTCTACCCACGGTGACAGAGTGAGACCTTATCTCATAAATAAATAAATAAATAAAAGATAGATATAAAGGGGTCTAGTTTGTCAATTCACTGCATCAAATGTAATAAAACTTGCCACTTTAAGACAGATATTTGATTTTTGGGTGTTATATTTCAAATCTTTTCTTACCCATATAAAAACTGAAGTGTAAAAACATTTGCATTGGAATATAAGCTCCACGAGGACAGAGATTTGTATTCACTGCTGTAACCTCAAAACTTAGGACAAAATCTGACACACAACAGAAACTCAAAAATGTGTCAAACCCAAACCTGATTCCCACCACGCCCTATGCCTTCTAGCAAAATGCTGGCCTTCAAACACGATGAAATAGTTCACAACCTGGAAAACCAAAACCAATCACTCTAACATTTGTAGCTCTTTGTCTTGAAATATTAAACAAAAACCATTTATCTGTTCTTAAACATTCCTATTTTCTTCTCCTAGTGTCAAAGTGTTTCATTCTACCATTTTCCACCTAGCACTAGAATCCTGCTTTTAAAATAAATCACCACATGAAAATACTCTATAAAGAGATCAAAAGGCCGTTCAAAACAGCCTATTATGATACATTAAAATATAATTCAAGATGACACATAAATGCATGAAGAGATGCTCAACATCATATGTTATTAGGGAACTGCAAATTAAAACAACAATGAAATATCACTATATACATATTAGAATGACCAAAATCCAAAACATGGACAATAACAAATGCTGGTGAAAAGGTGGAGGAACAGGAACTCTCACTCATTGCTGGTAGGAATGCAAAATGGTAAAGCCCACTTGGAAGACATTTGGCAGTTTCTTTCAACATAAACACACTTTTATCATACAATCTAGCAATCATGCTCCTTGCTATTTATCCAAAATGAGTTAGAAGCTTATGTCCACACAAAAACCTGCATACAGATGTTTATAATAGCACTACCCATAATTGTCAAAACTTGGAAGCAACCAAGATGTCTTTTAGTAGGTGAATGGATAAATAGTGGTACATCCAGACAACGGAATATTATTCAGCGCTAAAAAACAAATGAGCCACCAAACCATAAAAAGGCACAGAGGAATTTTAAATGCATATCACTAACTGAAAGAAGCCAATCTGAAAAGGCTACATACTGTATGACTCCACTTATATGATATTCTGAAAAAGGCAAAACTATGGAGACAGTAAAAAGATCAGTGGTTGCCAGGGGTTAGGGAAGGGAGGGATGAATTGGTAGAGCACGGATTTTTAGGGCAATGAAACCATTCTGTGTGATACTATAATGGTGGGTACATGTCATTACACATTTGTCCAAACCCATAGAACATACAGCACCAACAGTGAACCCTAATACAAACTATAGACTTTGGACAATAACGATGGTCAATGTAGGTTCATTGATTGTAACAACTAGACCACTCTGATGGCAGATGTTGATAGTAGGGGAGGCTATATGTGGGGGATGGGGGAAGGGGTATATAAAGTTCTCTGTACTCTCTGCTCAATTTTGCTATAAATCTAAAAC